ATGTGTATAGTGTATATATATATGTGTATATATATATATATATATGTAAATATTTTAAATTGTAATTAAAATTTAATAATTGAAAAGAAAATGTAAAACCAACCTAAACATTAGATTTCTTTTAAATTGAAATTAAATAAAAAAATAAATTTTAATAAATAAGAAATGAAGTTTAGCATCAGCTCATACTGATGGAAGACTAAAATCTTCCTATACAAGTGGATACCAAAAATTTTACTGAAATAATATTTAAATATAAACTTTAAAAATCTTATATATACATATACTTGATGTGAAAAACCGAAATTTAAAATGAGCAACAAACAGGAAAACATTAAGTAAATTTGGAAATAAAAGGAAAATTTTACTTAACTAGGAAAATCAAATATAGTTCTATTAAAAGGGCAACAATGAAAACATTTTTTTGTTAATAGGTTATGGGATTTAAATAAAATGAATTCTAATCTAAACTTGTGGATTTTAAATTTTGATCCATTTTTTAAATCTAACGTTTTTTCTTGTTTGTTTGCAGTGAACTTTTTTAAGTTAATGGGCATTTTTTGCACTTCCAACCGTTTGTGTTTATGTTTTTCTTGATGAATTTTGTTTTTATAAAAGAAATTTCTGACTTATTTAAAATTTATCATTTTTTTTGTTTAAAATTTTCTGTATAAAGAAAAATCCCTTTTTCTATTAAAGAAAAGTCTTAAAATGACTGGCCGTAGCAGGTCAGTCAAAAAGAATTTATTTGCCACGTCCCCATCCAAAAAAAAGACCCTCCCGATAAAGAAAAAGTATCTGAAAAAAGTGAAGAGTCAAAAAAGTTGGATGATAATAGTGGTGAAGTTGATAGAAGTATGGAAGCCAAAAATGCTTAAATCTTCAAGAAAGATGTGTCCAAGTTATGAATTTGGAGAAAAATAAGTAGGCCGATAATAACCAAAAGTCTTTGATTAACAGCAACAATATTAAACAATCGGAAAAAATAAGTATGGTGGCCAAAAAGGCCAGAATTTAACGGAAAAATATCAACTGATTGAATCTTCAATGATGAAAAGAACAAAGACGTCAATGTAGCGGTCGGGGAGACGCCCTCCTGATGGAAGTCTCCACCTAAATGCAAAATCAACATGACAGAGTTTATGGTGAGATCCAAGAGTCACGCACATCTTGTCATAGCAGATGGGCTCTTGGCTAATCCAGAAGAACTGCAGAAGGTTGAGAAAAGAATTGTGTCTTTGTGGTCGACAAGCGTTCGCTCAAAATTTGTCGTTCCACAAATGACACCATAATCAAAGCAATGTCATCACTGCAGATCAAACTTCAACGAGTTATTAAAGACCTCATTCTCCAAACAGAATACAAGAACAGGCGTCAAATCAGTGTATTTGAGGTCCCACCTCATATCGCTGGGGAGCACATGGCCGCTTATCTGCGCCAATTTGGACAGATACTCAGCGTCTCGGGGTGAATGTATGTTGTGTGCAGAACACCCGGTTTTCTTATTGCGATTATGAGAGCATTCTGTCCAGGGGGGGGGTTCCACTATTAAGCATGTTTTGATGGCCACTCGAGAGGTGTCTTTTGGCTAGTGAGCAAGTCTTTGAAGGCTGCGTGTGCTCTTCGCAGATCCGGCGGGCAGGCTTTGCGTGCTGGATGTTACTATAAAGGATAAGTCTCTTCGTCTCATTAAGGTTAATGCGCCAAATGTCCATTTTAAGCGGCCTGATTTGTTCTGGCAGATGTCGTCGGGTATATTTAGCGGGGATTGGAATGCCGTACTTCACCGGCTTGACATAGATTTATTGGGCCAAATTTGTGTACTAACAACCGGGACGTGAAACCATTTCGGGAATTTATCAAAATGTTTGATCTTGTCGATAAGTATTGGAATGAACACCCTCGGGAGGTAGTATGGACTAATAGTGGCGGCTCGTCTACAGAGCTGCGTTCTAGCTACCTTGACCGAGTCTTAGTCAGGAGAATCGATGTAGGGCTCTTGTGGTGTCCAAATTTCCATTATATAGGTTTATTTGGACCATAGGCCCGTCCTGGTCCGTGTAAACTTAGATAAGGCTAAGGTTAAAAGGGCTGGCGACTGGAAATTGAATTCATCATTATTTGGTGAGCAAGATTTCCAGGACCATTTGCTACTAATGATAGACAGGGCGCTGACGCGGTCTGTGGTCGGGAATGCCTGGTGAGATAATTTAAAATCCAAAATGAGAACGTTTGCTGCTGATTATAGTCGTCGACTCAATCTAGAAAGATTAGCGGCGCAAACGCCTTGTAAGAAAAAAGTAGATCGGGCGATTAAATCCCGTGATAGTGGGGACGTAGCTTTAGCTCGGGCAGAGTTGACCTCCTTGCTTATCAAGAAGGATCAAGCTCTGGTAGTTAGGGCTAGGTTAAAAAGAATGTCCTCGGAGGCAACAAATATGACCGCTGAATTGCGTGCAGAGAAAAGTCGGAATGCATCTCAGTGACATATCGCGTTCGTCACATTGCCGGATAAGCGGACCGTGGCTACAAACGTGGGCATATGTGGGGGTTTTTGTGGGTACTTTCAGGAACTTTTCACCATCTGAGTCCTGCTCAGTTCGACGCCTATTTAGCCGACTTTCCCTGCCTTGAGGCAGCTGAAGCAGCTTGGTGCATGGGTCCCATTACAGAGTCGGAAATCTGGTATACGCTGAAGCAGGTTGGTCTGGACAAATCTCCGGGATTATATGGTCTTCCCTATGAAGTGTCCTTGAGACAGTCACCCGTTTTTGTTCCCTTGCTGGCGCTGATTTTTCGGCATTTGGATGAAGCAGGGGCCTATACCTCAACGCTTCACCAGGGGTGTGACCAAGTTTTTACGCAAGGACAAGAACGGTGGGGATGGGTTAGATAACTTTCGCTCTTTAACGATGTTAAATACAGAGTTAAAGATTTGTGCTAAGGTCTTAGCGAACCGTTTGCAGGTTGTCCTGTCTAGTCTGATTGGCTCCGAATAGACGTGCTGTGAAGGGCAGGACTATTCAGGACAACCGTCATATGGTATGCTTGATCATCGAGAAAGTTGACAGTGAAGCCGCGCTGATCTATTTTGATCAGTTCAAGGGTTTCGATAGGGTTGACCATCGATTTCTGGAGGCTGTCCTTTCGGCGGATTCAACTTCCGTATGCGACTCCCGCTGCGCTGGTGGAAGTGAATGGTGTACAATCGGGGCCTTTCGTATTGTCTCGCTCCATTCGTTAGGAGGTCCGTTCGTGATGAGCTAATTAACGAGCTCGGTCTTACAAAGCAGGAGACTCGCTCAATTTGGCCTTAGGCGCCCGGGTTGAAATGCCTCAATAACGATGAGAAATCACTCACCTGGCTGGTGATTCGTGGGGCCCTCTGGGTCTCCAAAAGTCTTTGTTTGGCGGGTTTGGAGAAATCTCCAAACTGCGTTCGCTGTGATGAAGAGGTCGAGACCTTGAGTCACGCATTCTTTCAGGTTCGTAGCACCGTTGTACAAGTTTGTTGAAGGCCTCATAGTTCGCATACTGTGCGGAAAGGTCTTTGTTCTGAGACCAGTTCTGTTTGTAACAATGTAGACGAAAAATGAACTCTATATGTTCTTTTGCTTGCTAGGTGTTATGAGAATCGTGATTTGGACGACGCGTCAGAAGGGGTTCTATGAAGTTTAGAAGTTCACTTCTTCCCAACTGATATTGTTCTTTAAGCATCAGCTTTAAGTCAAGATTAGGACGAAAAAGCGACGGCTCACTTCATAATTTAGCAAAAGGTGGGCGAATGTGTAAGAACTCAAGGAATGGCATTGCTTAATGGGATTATTTTTATAATTTTTTTCTTCTTATCGAATTGATCAGTCTCGCAATGATTCACGTGTCAACATTTTATAGCAACAGATGGAACAAAAATAAAAGAAAACGAGAAGATATATACAAAAAAAGGATAGAAGTTATGAGGCCTGAGATATTGTATAATCTTAGCTGTCAACACCTGTGAAAAAGTACATTCACAATGACGGGCAACCAAGATTGGAAAGTTTCAGGGAAATAATAAGAAGATACATGCACATTAAGAGAAAAAAGATGTTTTTTGTTTTTTTTATCATGGAGAATGTATATATATTTTTCATTTTTAATATAAAATTGTGGCACAAGGTCGAAAGGGAAGTGGGGAAAAAGGCTGGTCTTCACTGACTTTCCTAGTCCTAGCTAATCACAATCACGACCCATTCATTCAATACAATATGATTATTCACTACAAGAACTTGTCCATCTCCTCCCAATCCAACGTATACCCCAATACCACATATACACTAGAGATCTACAAAACAACTCATGATATGATAATTCAATAAATGTTCAAAATGTATTTTTTTAATCATGAAGAATGACTGCTAAAAATAACCTCTACCTAAATTTATAGACAAATCTTACAGATGCATACTGGGATTTCTTTCTGGCCAATAAAACAAAATGGACCTTTTTCGACTTGCTTTGCAATTAAAAAGCCATAGCCTCTTGACTATATTCCTTTTGCATATGAACACTGTTTCTATTTTGTGAAATTTTTAATTGGTTATGTGAATGTATATGTGTGTGCATACATTCTTCACCTGTTTAACGTTTTAAACAAATATTTTCCGTTTTGCCAGAAGTCAACAAGTACGAAAATATTTCTTATTGTGGTTCTGAAGGATGCTGAGAATACCATGTACTGAACATATGATCAATGGCGAAGTTTTAGAGAAAATGGAAACAAAAAGGACACTTATAGTTATATACATCAGATAGAGAAAGTTGAAAGAGGACATATTATTAACAGGCAAGAGAGACAGAGGAAAGCAGCACATAACCTACCTAAGACAAAATTTACTAACAGCTATAAGGGACAGGAAATTGCCAACTTCCCGAGGAGACAAGGCACATAGAAGAATAAAATTAAAAATATTTAAAAAATGTATAATGCATAATGGACACGAAAAAGCTATTGTCGCCTGATGCGTCGTCATGTGGTGAATGTCAAGGGGCTGGATTATTTTTGGCCTCTGTTCCCTTGTATGCGAGGGATTTCTATATTAATTACGGCTTTATGGCACATTCCGTCATATTCAAGGTCATATTTATTTAATGCCAGTGTTTCATATAACACTTTAATATACACGACAGACGACTAATATATATTTAATTTAGCGGACATACATTTTAAAAATCATATTGCCCCAAACAAGGAAATAAAGCCACTAAGACTCAAAGGTTTACAAAGAGTGAAAGACGCCATGAAAACGTTATTGAGAAGAGAGGAAGACCAGGATACAATGAGACAGAAAATGAAGCTTGACGTTGTATTCAAATTTTTGGAGATCGTAAGTGACAGGAGATCCGGAAGAGAGTTCTATAAACAAAAGAAGAAACTATCAATTTTACGGTTACATCTAGCAATTTATAAAGTAACATAGTGAGACCTAGCTGCCAATCTAGTACAGTGCTGTAATTCGTGAAGTCGTTGTAGCAAAGAAGGAATTTCATCAGAACTATTACCTCGCTTAGATTCTGGAAGACACCTTTCACTGTAACTACGCACCTTCAGATTTTAAACGAGTTCATTTTGAAGTTGTTCTTACCCTACCTGTTCGAGCACTTTATTACCTTTTTTTGCCCGATTCAATATTCCGCTCAAGTGGACGCTCGGATAAATTCAAAGTTACATTTATTTAATGCAAGGGTTTTATATAATACTTCAATATATACGGACAGACAACTAATATATACTTAATTTATTGGATATTCTTTTTTAAAATCATTTTACCCCAAACAAAGCAATAAAGACACGAAGACACAAGGATTTACAGAGAGTACAGGAAACTGTGAAAACGTTATTGAGAAGAGGGGGTGTCATTAAAAGACCAGGATTCAAAGAGACATAAGATGACGGTTGACGTTGCATTTAAATTTTTGGAGATCGTAAATGAGTGGAGAGCAAGAAGATGGAAGAGAGTTCTACAAAGGAAAGAAAATATTAGCATAAATTTTACAGTTACATCGAGAAATTTACACAGTAACATAATGAAGCCGAGGTGCCAATCTAGTACACCGCTGTAATTCGTGAAGTCGTGTTACCAAAAAGGGAATTTCATCAGAACTATTACCTCGCTGAGATTCTGGAAGACAACTTTTACTGTAACTGCGCAACTTCAGAGATTAAACGAGTTCTTTTTAAGTTGTTCTTATCGTACCAGTTGGATCACGTTATTATCTCTTCTTGCCCCAATCATTGGAAATTATTATCTCTTCTCGCCCCAATCATTGGAAATTATTATCTCTTCTTGCCCCAATCATTGGAAATTATTAACTCTTCTTGCCCCAATCATTGGAAATTATTATCTCTCCTTGCCCCAATCATTGGAAATTATTAACGCTTCTTGCCCCAATCATTGGAAATTATTAACTCTTCTTGCCCCAATCAGTGGAAATTATTATCTCTTCTTGCCCCAATCATTGGAAATTATTAACTCTTCTTGCCCCAATCATTGGAACTTATTATATTGAAAATTTTGGCCGAAATCATTTGAAATTATTATCTCTTCTTCTTGCACCAATCATTGGAAATTATTAACTCTTTTTGCCCCAATCATTGGAAATTATTATCTTTCTTGCCCCAATCATTAGAAATTATTAACACATCTTGATCCAATCATTTGAAATTATTATCAATTCTTGCCCCAATCATTGGAAATTATTATCTCTTCTTTCCCCGATCAGTGGCAATTATTAACTTTTCTTGCCCCGATCAGTGGAAATTTTTATCTATTCTTGGCCCAATCATTGTAAATTAATAATTCTATTTTTTTTAATAAATTTCATATACACAACTCGAATTCTCACATCTGAATATCCTGGCATTTTCATCTTTTTTCTTCTTTTCATTTTCAGTTGAAATTTTCCAAGGTGTCACTTCTGATATAAAAACAAAATAACCAGAAAACTGACAACTCCACTGAGGAAGCTTTATCCAGAAGGTAGGTTTTATTTTATTAACTGAGTACTTCACATCAGATAAACATTATTAAACAAGAACATCGTTTGACGTTTCTTCTGTCGACGAAATCTCATTTTAATTAAGGTTAATTTTAAAGAAATGGAACGGCCTATGAAGATGAAACGAGTTAAGGACAACACGCAGTCCTCGCTTCAAAGTCACACGTGTTTTCAAAGAATAATCTGTACAAGAAAGGGGCTTAGAGTAAGATTAGTCGTTTCCCTATAAGGAAACATTCAGCATTCATTGTCCGAACAGTTAGCATTGCTGTTGACTGAAATGTATAAGAATATTTCAAGAAAATATATTTCTCTAGCAGTTATCTCTTTTTGTAGTGTTGATAGAGGTTTCCATCCTCAATTTTTGTTTCACGTCATGTGGAAAGTTAACATAATCATTTTATCATTATTTTCTCTTTAAGTTAAATGAACTATCCAGTTTAGTTTTTTGCCTATGTGGCGTAGATTTTGTTACTCGGTACGTCGTTTATAGTCACTGTATTAATTCAAAATGTTTTTAATGAAAGTACTTTAAAGTAATTGAAGAAGATAGACTCTGTTACATTTAAACATGATGCTCTTTTTGCTCCATTCTAATTGAACACTTTTTCTGATCGACCAGCTGTGTATGGCTGCTAGTTGTTATTATTGTTATTATTATTATTATTATTATTATTTGCACAGTGTTTAATTTCAAATAATATGGAAAGTTTTTCGGAGTTTCATTTCGAAAACTAAAATAATAAAGATTACCCTAAAATATATACTTTCACAAAGCTTTTCTGTATTTAGTTTTGTCAGGTTTTTACATAATATTTCTATTCAAATATAATTTCAAATTGATTTAATGATACATTATTAACGATTTCTGAGCACACATACTCTGTCATGCCTCATTATTATAAGAACTTATTTTCCATAAGGATGGTATACGAGTCGTTTGAAAAGTTCTCACGGTATTACCGTTCTTCTCCCATCATGTTTACTTTGAAAGCCATCTTTTAATGCCTTATCTGTTTTCCTCTTTTTCAGCTTCAACATGGTGTTGAAGTATCTTCTCTGCCTGTTCTTTCTTGAAGCGCGTAAGTAGAAATATCATTTTATGTATAATAGAGTTCATTTAATATTTTATACCTGTTAACTTGCAATTTCATCTAGTTTTCAGATTAACGATTCAGGATTCTGCAGTTGAATTGGAAGCTTTGCGAACGATTTTTGAGTTTGAATTGTTTCAGAAAAGTATGCGCACGAAACGAGAGATGCTGGTAGTTTCAAAATTTTCGAAAGAATATTTTCGAAAGAATTTTTTTTTCAATCCAGCTAAATTCATCTGTATGATATACATATCGTTATATCATATATATATATATATATATATATATATATATATATATATATATATATATATATATATATGATAGAAAAAATGTACGATACGTGAATAAAATGGAATTACAATATAATACGGTTAATTGATTGTTATATACTTTTATGTTCTTTTTTTCTCAATTCAGAGTTTATTTGCCCACTAATTTTTATTTCTTGTCAAATTCATTGAGAAATATTTGAAACTTACAATGAAAATGAATACAGATTTTTCAATAACATTGTCTATATTTCTGAGATGAGGTATTGGAATTTTTTACAGTATTTACACTGTTCGAACTGTTATCCTCATCTTCGTTGCCATATTAACGATAAAAGCGTTGGCTGAATCCAGTGACTTGACCCAAAGAGTTGTGAGTTCAATACCTGGCTACAGCAGAGGTGAACAAAACCTTTGAGTGTTGAGTTAAAGGGAAATAACTAATACTGAGACATCCAGAAGACGCATGGCACGTGGAACTAGAATAATCTACCCCGGTGGACGAAATAAGGAGTTCAAAATTCTAATCACCTGAAGAAGACCGGAGCATGCAACGGCCGAAACGTCGTGAATATGGCAAGGAAGATGAAGACAACAGTTTGAAAAACGTAAATAGTGTAAATAGATTGAGTGGTTTAAAGAAAATTTATTATTCCATATTTTAATGAATATCAGGTTTCGTGTGTGTGTGTGTGTGTATGTGTGTGCGTATGTGTGCACGCGTGCGTATACATATTTCAGATTTTCATGTTTGTCATGAGGGAAGCTAATCCTATTATAATGTGTAGAACTTTTAGTATTACTTGAAAGAAAAACATATTATCTCGTACAAATAACTGACAATAGCAGATGAGAACATTCCAATCTAAAATTATTCAGAATAAGCCAGTAGAAAGAAAATACACGTCTTTACTCAGCCTAAAATATATAAAAAAATAACATTGCATGATATCTTTTCTATGACTGACAATGTTTAAATTTTAAAAAGCGCGTGTTGAAGAATCATTGTTTCATCAATTCATTAAAAATGTTCGATACATAAATTGTAGCCTATACTAAAAACCAAATAGGCTAAAACATCATGGAATAATTTTAACTTCACACATGAAAAATATAATACTGTAGTAAATTAGTCTATGTATCTATCCGGGTTGACAAATATTTCAGTGTAAAAAATGCTATTAATAAGAGAGTGCTTCAGATTGATCAATTCTAAGTTTGTAGATATTTATTAAACTGTACTTGGCTTTGATACAAGACCACAAGCGTGAAGCATTTATTCAGGATTGAACTAAACAGCAATGATTTGCGGAACCATATTGTTATCCATTATCCAATGGTGAAATGCCTCAAGTTTCAGTTTATAGGCTTTTCACCGTAGCAGCTGTCCTGCTATTGTAGATCCTGTCACTAAGGTTACTTTCTCAATTCTTTCTACAGATGTCATTAGCGATTTTGAGGCATCTCTAAACTAGGCTAATATAAAATATTTTATGTAAATGTTTGAATGTTTGAGTACTTTCTCTTTCGAAAAACATAAAATTCTTTGACAACTCTGTGTGTAAAAAAAGACAGGCGTTTAAAAAAAAGAAAGTGTTACGGCGAGAAAAAGAGAAAGTAATCCCACAAAGTTTAAACGCTCTGAATTTCTTTTTTTGAAAGAGCACGGAAATTTAAGGAATACTGATGGACCTAATGAATAGCCACAAGAGGTACAAAGTTCTCAAATATGTTGTCGGATTTCAGCACTTCACACCAGTCAAAAGAAACGACTAATTTCGATGTTATACAAATATGCAGGCAGCGAGTAAGCAACCAGAAATGCCTTAAAGAAAATGACACGAGAAAGAACTCATACTCAGAATCAAGAAAAAATAGCTGCAATTCCTTAGACACATAATGAAGAAATTGGAAGACTTAACCCACACGGGGGGGATATTGAGAGAGAGAGAGAGAGAGAGAGAGAGATGCCTGACAAGGAGTGTTTTTGTGAATGGATGCCTTGGACAATTTTAACAAACGTTTTACTATTGATAAACCCGGAAATAAAAGAAATATATATCGTCAATGGGATCCTGAATATGAAAGGGAATTATTCAACAAATCTCAATGAAAATATACTGCCGAAATATATATATATATATATATATATATATATATATATATATATATATATATATATATATATATATATATATATATATATGCATAAAACTTAGTTTGACCATTTTTAGACAACGTTATTGTATGAAATTGTGTTCAGTTAAAAAACGATTATATTTTACACAAAACACAAACGAATGGGCAACATTGGAAAGTACTAAGGAAAAAATAACATAAACTAGAAAAAATATGAACTTTGGCAAAGTCTTGCGCGTGAAATTCTGAAACTATTTGGGAGCCGTCGACGGTTTTGGTAGCACGAAGTAACAAGTCATCGTTAAGCGAGGGTTTGAGCGTACTGAACTTGTTCCGTCTGTTGATCCTGCCAGAAGAACACTCTTAGCAACTGTAACTAAGGCCCGGTCAGCATAGTTGCATTATAAACCGCAGATTGCCTCTGTAGGTATTGAACAAACAAAAATGAGACCAGGCGTCTTCAGATATTAATAGATTAGACAGGCATAGTATAAAAATTAATTTTTAATTTTATTATTATTATTATTTTGAAGTGGTTATTCTCGTGCAATATGATTTTTATTAAAAAAATGTTGTTTTTTTTAAATTCGTAATAAAAATTCATATAAGCAATCCAGATTATGAATTTCAATTTATTTTCACGTTTTTTGTAATCACGTCGTATCAGCATATCTCGATCAATTTACAATAGCTTATTAGAATAGCAAATATGAGCCTTTAAAAACATTATTTTAGTATCTTTATTTATCTATTTCTTTATATTCTTTGCATGGATATTTAATATAATAATAAAGATGTAAAAAACAAATTCTGGTTGTTTATTATACAACTAATTCAGAGAATTTTTATGTTAAAAGAAAACATTTTTTTCCTTTCTTTGTGGAAAACTAATGATTTTAGCTTATTTTACAGAAGAAATATAATTTTATGTTACAAAATGAAACCCCCAAAATACATATGCCATTCGTTTGATATTTTACTGTGTGAGTAGATTTTCTTACTTGAAAATAAATATATTTTTTTTTTTTGTTTACCTGAGGATCCAGCATGGTTGACATTTATTATTATTTATAAATTAATCTTAACATAAACACCTTGCTATTTTGACACGATATGCTTTCCTTCCTGTAGTTGCTTATATACCTTTTAATCACTTACTTCCCCGGCAGATAGAAAATCTCACTAACTCATAATCGTATTTTGTATTATTTTACTTTTGTAACAAATACTGTAAATAGAATTATACATGATTATTATTAGAGGTTGGAGGGACTGGGGATATGTAATAATAGGTACTGGCTACACGTTATTTTCAAAGAAATCGAGCCAAAAATGGCGTTTTAGGCAGTTGTCTCCAATGTAATTGATTTTTGAGGATCTCTCGGGTGATTGCAGGATGGACCAGAGATTTTACGCTTTTTACATGAAAATACAGCAGTTTATGGATAAAAGGTTTTTCGCCATATGCTATTGTTTAGATCAGCGTTTCTTAACTGGAGCACCCGGATGCACTAGTGCGACCTGAAAGGTGCCCAGATGTGCCACAAGTTAACAGAAGAGTAATTTCTGAATTATTTTTATATTAAAAATCTTTATTTTTTAAAAAGTTAGAGACAGCAAGCACATGGCCTCCATGTCTAAATCAATTGGCGTTTCAAAAGATGACTTTGGTTTATGGTTAACAGAAGAGGAACTGTTCACTATATCTGCTGATCGTGGCTTACATATCAAGTATAAAGAGGTATCCATTGATCATTTTTGGATTTCCATTGAATAAGAATATCCTTCTTTAGATACTAAAGCATTGAATATTTTATTGCAATTTTCCATATCATACATCTGTGAACCACGATTTTCTACACTTATCATCATTAAATGCAAAACTAGATTAAATATTAAATGCGTTGATGAGGATATGAATATAAATATATCACGTATAAGGCCTTCAACAATTGCCAAAATACAGGTTTCATACAAGCATACTTAATAAATATATAATGCCTTAAAAATAAATGCTTATTTCAAGAGATTTCTTTATTATTTCCAAATTTCATGATTAATATTTTCTTATTGAAACTGAAAGGGCGCCTCAGAGTTTTAGCGATTCTACAATTGCGCCCTGAGATAAAAATGGTTGAGAAACACTGGTTTAGACCATAATGCTGAAAATGATTTTCTGAAGGTATGACACCATTTATTCATTTAACACAACGGATATCAATTCCCACAGTCCTCAATTACGAGGTTTATAATGGTGAATAATGGTTGTTCAATGTTTTTCTTGAACATTTCTGTTGGTGTTATTATATAAAGAAAATATATATAAAACATTTTTGTTGGTGTTAATGATGATCATTAAACTGGCCATTTTGTGGGGATGCAATCCAATTGAGTCTACAACTTTTTTTTAAGTGACTTTTTATCAATAATTAGCCATGCTCCATATATTAATAAAATCTGATCTAAGCATGACTAATTACAATGATTTTGTTACCACTAAAGTTCTGATTAGTTCTATCTTTTTCAGTGATGACTACAACTTTATCGACAGATGTGGAGACTTCAGATGCTACAACTGCTAGTGATACAACATCTGTTTCTCCAACAAAAATGACAACGCGTGATCAAAGCCAAAAAGAGAGTAATCTACCTGCCACATCTGGGACATTCACAACGGAAACAGAATTATCCTGGTCTACAATTTTATCGACAGATGTGGAGACTTCAGATGCTACAACTGCCAGTGATGCAACATCTGTTTCTCTAACAGAAATGGCAACGCGTGATCAAAGCGAAAAAGAGAACATTGCACCTTCCACATCTGCGGCATTTACTACGGAGTCGATGATGTCCGACACAACGACAGTAACGACAAATACTGAGACATTTCGTGGAACAACTACATGGAATGTAACATCGCTTCCTGTAACAATAAGTAGAGCAAGTACGTCAACGGAAGAAGTCACTTCACCACTTCTCTTATCAGACAAAGTGACTACTGAATCAACAACAATGTCTAAAATAAAAACTACTGAAAACGACATTATCCCACCTGTCACGACGCGATCTTTCAGCACTCATTCATTTCTAGAGAGTAGTTTATCTTCTACTACGCCCAACCTTATAATCAAAACAACTACTGGCACTACAACTCCACCTCCCTCAACTGAGAAAGCTACAACCAAATCAACGATCGAAGACACTACGTTTCCAAAAACTACTCCAAATTTCTATGTCAGTTCAGTGATGACTACGAAAAGTACAACTAAGTTGCCGACCACAACAACTGCCCCTAAAACAACGCACAGACCTTGTCCACAGCCCAGTACGTATAGATTGTTTTTTTCTTTTTAATTCGTTGATATTTGGCTATTCGAAATGTTGATAACCATTTAAATTTCATTGTTTTGTTTTCTCTCTCTCTCTATATCTATATATATATATATATATATATATATATATATATATATATATATATATATATATATATATATATATATATATATATATATATATATATATATATATATATATATATATATATATATATATATATATATATATATATATATATATATATATATATATATATATATATATATATATATATATATATATATATATATATATATATATATATATATATATATATATATATATATATTTATATATATATATATATATATATATATATATATGTATATATATATATATATATGTATATATATATATATATATATATATATATATATATATATATATATATTATCATATTATTGTTATTATATATATTACTATAAAACATATTTCGCGATAAACATGTTTGAATAGACATATATTTTTGTTTTATTGAAAGCAATATCTACTGGCTTATAGATGAATAAAATTTTTTTAAAATATACCTCACGGTATTTTAACATATAAGTTTATATTTCTAGGCCGGTAGACATTAATTTCAATATTAAATATGAACAAAAAAAAAACATGCATGATGAAAGTCATTTTATTTCAAACAATGCCGTTGCTTCTTTGATTTTCATATTGGCAGCGCGTATATGGCTTTTAATTCTGCTACGGACTTTCTGTTGTATAGTTGACGCAACATTAGACGCCTTTTGTAGTAAGTGCTACAACAATGTTTATGTCAACTTTGATATTACATTATCGTACACCAACTGAAATACTTTCTTTTCCACACTTACTGCAGGTAGAAATGCCGTATACAGTTGATTTGATGATTTTTGTGCCCTGCCCTTCTTAGACAGATGCAATTACATTCATTACAAACTATATGTCAACATTCTCTGGGAGTTGCACTTTGAAATATATGCCTATCTCCCTTGCATTTCCCATGCTCGACAAGATTCTGTTAAAATTCTCTCTCATTAAAAAAGAGAAAATAGAAATTTTCGTTCTTTATCTATAGAAACATTTTGTTTATTTTATTTAAAATTTTTGAAGCTGTTTCGCCGTTTGAAGAAACTTATTTTTCTTATTATGGAGTCGCGTTCTTCCTTTAGGTTAACCACACATTTAATGATGCATTTTTTTGATTGCTTGTTGATCCGGTCGTCTAACGAAGTAAACTTCTTAGTATATATAAAAATCATGACTTATTCCTGATTATTTTTCTTTCCAGATAATTTTTCTTTCAATACATTTTTACTCATAAGCCCAATGTAACTCATTACAATGAAACAATGTAGAATAATCTTATTGTATGAGTACAAACTGGGAAAAAGAATCATTTTTGCATTGAATTATTACATGCGATAAAAAAAAATGGATGCTGTTTGACAACAGTACGAGAGTAGGCCAATAGTTAGATACAAGTGTATCACTAAAACAATACCCCAAATTCCCACTACACCCTAAAAATATAATGGTTACTGTATGATGGTCTTTCAAAGTGGTTATTCATTAATCATTCTTGCTTAAAGGAAACCAATAACAGCAATCTCGTATTCTGGAGAAATTAAGTGTACTTACGAAAAATCCTAGACTTGTGAATAAGGATGGTCCAGTTTTGTTTCACGACAACGCACGACCACAAATTTCTCAATCAACAGTCCAAATGCTGCGGAGCCTGAATTATAAAATTTTACTTCATCCTCCATATTCACCTGATATCTCTCCTTCTTATTTAAGCATTTTGAGATTTTCATAGATAATAAAACATTCTCCAATAAGGAAGAGGTGATCGAAGCATTTGAACTGTTTATCACAACAAAGGAGGAGAAATTTTTAAAGTTGAGATCAAATATTTAGAGATACGTTGGAGAACAGTCATTCATTAACGTGGTGCCTATTTCAAGTAAATAAATTCGTTATTTAACATTTTAGAAATGTTTTATTCATTTCCTATAAAGCCCGTCATTTCATGTGTGACAACCTAATATCATCAATATCATCTGACGGTCATTAATTTTTAGATATGCCTTATCCGCGGACTTCAACATGCACACGGGAACTAGCTATCGCTTATAACGAGATCTCACTTTGTATAAAGAGATGAAAAAAGAATGAGAATGAAATATATATTCTCTAAGGATTAATGATTAGTTTTTATTCGTCTTTTCACAGATCTTTTCACTCACGGCTCATATGAAATTGTCTATGAATCATCTCCTTTGATTTGTCCAGTGATTGATATTAATGCTGGTTCTTCTCAACTCAACTGTTTCAGAGTAAGTCAATTTATTTTATTATGATTATTTTACTATGAATTATGTATATCTTAAACAGAAATCCTAAACAGAAAACAAGGGATAAACCTCTACTTTTCAAAAGACGGAGAAAAAGTCTGAACTGGGTGATAAGCGAACATATCTCTTCTACTCCAATGGCTTCATGTCTCGCACTTCCAGTCTGTGAAACTCCCTTCCTCTTACTTGCTTACCTGGTAGCTATAATCTTCAATTATTCAAATGCAATGTCAATCGACATATCCAGATGTCTTGATCTAATTCTCTGTCCTTCTTTTCATCCTTTCCTCTATCACGTCTCTTTACTCTTGCTCCCACTCACTGTAACCTCTTACGTGCTTGTGACACTCCAGCTTTGCTTGGGGTGAAAAGTTTAAAATATATCAACCCCTATTGAAAAAATAAATAGAAAATTATAGAAACAAATCTGAGTTCATGTAAAAGACACACCAAAAGTACAAATGATATAGAGTGAAATAAATACCTGTGTTGCTGTTAAGGTCTATATTTACCAGACTGTTTATTTTCATAGAATCTTTGTGGATATAATATTTACCGCCACCTGCGTATCCCATAATAGCCTTTACATCCACACCCATATCCATTCCATATAGTTTATATAAGTAAAGTACAGTGCTGTTCAATAAAAGCGACTCACCTGATATTTTTACTTTAAATTTTTTTCATCTATTGTTTTTGGGGTCAAACTAATTATTAATCTTACTAATATAAAGACCCCTTCGCGACCACCTAGTAAAAAAGTTTAATCACCCTAAGGTATTCTATTGATAATTATAATTTTGTATATAAGTGAGATTTAAGGAAAAACTCTGTGCAAAAAAAAGTAACTCACTTATTTCCTGCAACTAGTAATCAATAGAAACATAACCGAACATCTTTAAATAAAGAATAATAGGGGTATTATTTATTTATAATAAGTAATATAGTTCGAAATATTTAATAATCTATGGGTCCTCCTTTATTTTGAATAACCATTTCAACCCTTTTTAGCATTGACTTGATTAGGTTCTCATCTCCAAGCATTGAATTCCATTCAGATATGAAATTCACAATCAAATCCTCTTTGTTGCTCAACTGCTTTCTCGAGAGCCTGTACATTATAATGCCCAATAAGTTTTCTATGGGGTTGAGGTCAGGAGATTGGGGCGGCCATGTCATAACACTCACCTGCTTCTCATCAAATTATTCCTTCATCAATTTTGATTTGTGACAGGGAGCATTATCCTGCATAAAAATGAGCTTGGTGGGGTCGATTTGCACCCTTTCAGCAGAAGGAGCAGACAAGACTCTAAAATTTCTTGTACTGCTCTCTCCTGAGGGTCTTTTCAATAGATTTTAAGAAACCAGTTCCATAAAAAGAAAAGTATCCCCAGAACATTATACTGAACGGATGCTTGACAATACTTACTGCTAAATTCAAAGAGCTTTCAAAGGTTCTTCTTCGGATTTTAGAGCGCTTATCCTTTCGTTTCATCGGAGAAGAGAACATTTAGTAAACAAAAAAATCAGGTGAGTCACTTTTATCGAACATCACTGTAGATATGCACGTCCTCCTTTGTCACTAAAACTATTCGGAACGTTACTCCGGGATAATTTTTCTACACTGAAAATGTAAACAAATAAGAAATTTTAACAATAGCGACAGACAATTATTTACAAAATAAACAAGACATTTCGATAATTCTATGTATAATTTGAACTAATTTGTTTTAATAGATGTTTTAATATTTAATAATAATGATTAAAGGGGAAATCTTAAAAGGAAAAGAGGGAAAAAGAAGATTGCAGTAAGAAAAAGTTTTACATTATCGTAAAATGGTAATTCGAAATTCAAATTAAGTAAATAAATAAAAATTTAAATTTGAATAATAAATCAAGCGGTCATGTCTCTCCACATTTTCCTGTCCATTGTAGCTCTCAGAAAAGTGTGTCTTTTGCTTTCTCTCCTGATCCCTGCTCTGTCAATCGTTTATATCATCTCGTTAGGTAGTTTATTTGCTGCTTCCCTGTGTCCCTCATGGTAATGAATTGGGTACAGCACACAATTTGGGTTACAGTATTGCTAGTCACGAGTACTTGGCGCCTGGGTAAATATTAGCCTTCCAGAATCTTCAAATGAACATATAAGACCCAGGATAATATATATTGATTTCACTTTGCTGAAGTTCTTCAATGGATAGTGCGAGCAGAAATAATCTTTTTTTTTTTTGTGGGGTGTATTCTGGAGAAATTGAGTGTACTTACGAAAAATCCTAGACTTTTGAATAAGGATGGTCCAGTTTTGCTGCACGACAACGCACGACCACAAATTTTTCAATCAACAGTTCAAATGCTGCGGAGCCTGAATTATAAAAATTGGGCATTTTGAGATGTTCATAGATAATAAAACATTCTCCAATAAGGAAGTGGTGATGGAAGCATTTGAACTGTTTCACAACAAAGGATGAGAAATAATTGTTTAGTGATACAAGTCTTATTAATTAACCTATAGATGGAGAGAGAAGAGGTGTATTTTCCAAGGATAGCGAAAGCAAAGCGTGTAAATAAATATACTGAATCAAACTGGGATTGGAACTTGGCTCTCTTATTAACAATTCCAAGCCATTATCCATCACTTCTTCGTAACAAGAACGGTTCATATTAAAATAATTATAGCAGAGCGCGTTCGCGCGTGTTTGTAAAATGTCTATCACAACGATTACAGCTATGTAAAGTATGTCTTCGCAATTCACCCGTGGAGATGAACTCGGAGGTGATCGAAAGTACTTGGGTAAACAAAAAAAAACGGCTTTTTACCATGATGAATTTCAACTTGTGGAGAATTACCTCGGAGGTCGAAGCGGGGATATAGTGACTTAGTCCAAAAGTGCGAGCGAATTGCTAGCAAAGCAAACCGTCCGAGCATCGGCACTGGAATGACGAGGTGCATGCGTCAGTGAGTCAGATTGATGCTGGCAACGTTCCCAGTATGCAAATTGTCTGGCTTAGAAAGAATGTATAAAAAAGGCGAGTGTTTGTTGAGTCGTCCGAAGGTTTTTGCGTTTAACGCAGGTCACGTCGGTGCGTGCCGAACCAGAATCCATTGCGAATGTTTTTCCAGTGTCTGTACAACAGAATCTCAGGTTTCCTGCTACAATTTATTTCGGGTAAATTTATGTGTTGGGCATCGTTTTCAGGTCGCAGCCAACAAGCGTCCTCCAGCACAGTCCCGTGTTTCTACAACACTACACCGATTGCTATAAAACTGGCACCAAACCACACGTTCAGCCCCAACCACCCACGGACCAATCCCCTGAGCCGGATTATCCAGCTTCATTGCATCCACGGTCTCAAGCATCATACACCGGAGGAGGATGTCCTTCACCTCATCATCCCAGCCCTCTCGTCATATTAACAGAAATTAACATCAAGAATATAACAAGAGAACTAGGAAGGATTATTATAAAAATAGATATATGTCTATATTATTTAATGAAACATTCGATATATATATATATATATATATATATATATATATATATATATATATATATATATATTATATAATTCGAGATGAAATTTGGTCTCCAATAATGACAAACGCAGGGATTAAAGATAAGAAATTAAATGTATTTACACAATAATACAATGGGTAATACTGTTAGTAAATCCAGGAACGCGGTTAGTAGAAATAATATATATATATATATATATATATATATATATACAGCCTCGAAGTAGAGTCTACGTGCTTGTAACTGAGACTTCTGCAAGCGGTTACCTCACACTATTACTCTACCTCCAACTCAATCACAATCTCTGCTCACTCTCTCGCTCTGGATTCTGACTAACTCTCGGTATTTAACGACAGTCCAAGTAACACTCTCGTCCACTTATATGAAAAAGGGGAGGACCCCATAACAATATAAATATATCGAATGTTTCATTAAATAATATATATATATATATATATATATATATATATATATATATATATATATATATATATATATATATAACAATAGTGCATAAGCATTTTCAACAATATTGAACTTAATTACTAAATGAATGGAGACACGTTAGTGTAATGGAGAGCCGAGTTGAAATTCCAGTCGAATTCGATACATTCTCTTACATTCAAATAAGCTTAAGAAAGGCATGAATCCATCTATTCCCCCATCCACTGGTAAATAGCAAGACAGACTGGGTTCTATAGCATTGGGTGATAATCAGTCTAGGAGAATGGCAGCTCTGAATTCAAACTTCGTAGTTTTTATTCTCAACACTGAAGCCAGGGATTTAGGTCAAGTATCATTTAGGATCAATCAACCAATGCTTTTATTCACTGGGTCTTGAGTCCTTAGGACATGTGTCTATGTTTTCCCAAGGAATGGTTGGTTGATTGATCCAAAAAGTGACTTGACCAAAGATTTGTGACTTGTCTAGAGAACAAACAAACTTGGAGAGTTATCAAGTCGAATTAACTAAAACTGAGATACCAAAAGACATGGTACATGTAATTAGAACAATCTATCCCCGTGGACTAAATGAAGGGTTTGGTTCGAAATTCCAACAAATATCACCTGAAGAAGGATGTGGCATACAAAAGCCGAAACGTCGTGAAGTGAAAATAGTAAGGCAGCTGATGCTTTCTTTCCTTGTTAGTACAACCAGTTTAGCATAAAATTAATTCTAAAATCGTGGAGACTAGCAATTCACATTTTATAGATATTTAGAAAATGTAATTGCGAAGAATTGTGATGTTACAAATATGTTGTGTTTTTTTTTATTTTGCATTTCATTTTTCAACATATATTTTATAAACATAATTGTATTGTCGTTTTTCTTCTTTTTTCAGATATACAGTAATGGATACGTCAAAGAAGGCAGTTTCGCATTCTACTATGAACCACATCGCAATTATTTTTCAAAATGGGGATCCTGGATATTGGCACCATATATGGCAGACCTGGCTACAGGACCAAATTCAATGATAAAATATTCTGTCTATTCCAAATACACATATAATGGAGAAGCAGGCACCAGCGTTTTGAACAAACTGGGAGAGATTGATGAGCATATGAAGACAACGTTAACAGATTTTCAATCTGTGTGGGCAATTGTAATCACATGGGAGAATGTCCGTCCAAGGTCATTGGAAGGTGAAACCTGGGTAAATGTTATTATTATTATTAGTAGTAGTAGTAGTATATAATAAATCTGCCCTTTTCTTCGTTAGTTATTTCAAACGACCTTTACACCCTGTCAATACCTCATAAATAATGAATATTCCATTGTGAACCCGTGAAAAGACATATCAGAGATACTATGAGGTTTCAATAGAAAAGAAAAAAAGAAAGAAAGAAAGAAAGAAAGTGTTGTGGAGTAAATAAGATACTCACGGTAACACAAATGAACTAGGCAAATAAATGAACCTCAAGTGAGTCAGGCGAAGTCCGTTGGAGTCAGAAGAAGAGCATTTGATGGACCTTCAAGAATTACAGAAGACTGAAAAAAGAAGTGCGTCAGTCTTTGTGGTCAACAAGCATTCGCTCAAAATGTGTCGCCGCACAAAAAGACACGGTCATTAAATCCTTGATGTCAGTGAGGATGCAACCCCAAAGAGTCATAAGGGATATTTCATGTGAGACGTACTGTTATCCACGACTGCCGACTGTGAGGACGCTTCCTTTCGGGACCTTATAACAAAAGACCTTATCATAAGACCTGCAGGCGGAGGACGTGTTTCAGTATCTGAGGTCCCTCCTCAAATCGTAATGTGCACTTGGCCGATTATCTGCTTCTATTTGAGCAGACCTGAACGGGGGTGGGTGAAGTTTCGAAATTATGATTGACCCTAAAGCCTGCATCTTCATTCCCACTTGTCTGGATGTAAAGGGCCAGAAAATGTAGGTCATTATGACCGGCTGTAAACCAACTTGCTGGAAGTGTGGAGTAACTAGTCACCTTTTCTCTTCCTGCCCAGAGAAAAAGATTTCTGGAGTTCTGGCCCCCGTCGAGCAAAATCCTCTTCTGACGCGGATCGGTGTGGTAAAATCCATTTTGTGGCCCGCATTCCTCGCAATGCCTTTGCCCGTTGCTTGTGTAGTTGCGGAGAATGGGGAATGGCATGTCGTTGGTAAGACCAAAAGGAGACTCCAGACTGCAGGTGTCTGTCCCCAGAAACCACTACGGCAAAAAGCCCCACTCCCTCTGCTAGTTCTAAAGGTGATGTCCTGGCCACCTATACGAACCGAACTTTGAGAAGTTTGAAAGACTGGAGCAAATAAAGGTCTAAAAGAGCGGCAGAAACATATGTGAAAATAATAACCCTCTTCCCCATCACTCATAAAGCAGACCATGGCTCCACCTCTACATAACCAAATCATTAAATCCCACCCCAACCAAAATGACTACTCTGAAAAGGTTTCCCAATAACAAAAAAACCGCTCCTGTATCCACTCCCCAAAATAGAAAAGACAACGCAACCCGTCAGCCGAGAAAAACATCGCCAACACAGAAAAACATGATAAAATCCAAACCCCTCATAATACTGGAGAGGACGTGTACTGAGTGACATCTGAGCAGGAAGATAAAGCAATTAGACAGTCAAAGAAAAAAGAAAATTAAAGATTTAAAAATTCTGCGAAACCTTAAAGAAATCAACGGAAACAATGATGAAAAACCTAAAATTTTCCCAAAAGCAAAAACAAGGTCTTGACGATAATAGGATCTAGACAGGAATCTCAAAAGTATTGGGCGATGTTACAAGAAGCAAACGATGCTTGATATAAGTTGTTTTTTTATGACAACATAAATGTCAAGAAGTTAAATCAGTTTTTTCGATTTTTTTTCGCCCCTCCCTTTATAGAGGCCTAAAGTTAACATTCCTCTGGGATATTCTCTTGCTGGTACCATTAAGAATGAGATGGGACATGGGTCAGTGGAATGTTCAATGCAGATACCCAAACCTAATCGGACTAACGCTATATAATTTTTTCTAAATGCATCAAATGCTTAAGAACTCAGACAGTTCGCAATTACGACTGACATTGGAATATATATATATATATATATATATATATATATATAATGCTGGTCCAGTTGTCAAAAAATCAAAGAAATATAACTAAAAAGAATATAATTGTAATTATGTTATAAAATGTTCATTTAAATTTTTGGCATTTCATGGGGTCAGCACAAATTTTCAATGAAAAACAATAAAACCGTTGAAATGTCACGCAGATGTCTCATTTCAGCACTTGTGTATTTTACGATGAACAGTAGTCGAACTCCTTTTGGTCATTTTGTATTTCTTTTTTTGAGATGAGAAATTGTCAGTACACTTTATTCTAACAAGTTTGAACTCTCGAATAAAAGGGACAAACTAACACAAAAATCAAAATGGCGAATAATCACAGTCAGCCTCTGAACTTTACAACACACAACAAAGAAATGTTAAAAGAGAAATAATGATTATAACAACAAAAGGAAAGGATAACAAAAATATTTCTTACCATTTCAATGACAATATCACACTAGGTATATAGGTAGTAGCGGTCAGAGATTGGAAGCAGGAATTAATCAAAGTCAGTATTCGGTAAGGCAATGAGGACAATTTGAGCCGGTGCGTTAATACATCTGGATCGATGATAGTTGAATATTTATTAAGAAAACATCAATGTGCACGGCCTACAACTAAAACGTTCTTAGTACTGACGAAGGATCACTCTGATTCCATCTTATGATTAAGTCAATGAAAGACCTGTTAGCCACCCCTCTGAAATTAGAATGAATGTTTGTTAGACTTAAATATAATTAGTATTTTATATTTTATATATTTATTATATAACATATGGTGCTCACTGTGCGCACCCCCTTCCTCGATTATGCTATGAGAGAGGTTGGAGAAACTGGGTAAGATGGTGTTTGTGTTAATAGAGAACGGAAAGTCCAACACCAAAATTCGAAAGCGCATTGGGGTAACAAAATGACTTCAAAAAGGTAAACAAAGTATTAAGAAACTAGACAATTTCGTTAGAAAAAAAGAAAAGAATACTGAACTGTTACGTAATACCAATCCTCCTATACGGCTATGACTGCTTGGTAATCTCCTCACAGATGAAGAAGAAACTTGAAGCAACAGAAATGTCGATGTATCTCTCTCTCTCTCTCTCTCTCTCTCTCTCTCTATATATATATATATATATATATATATATATATATATATCGAAAGAAGAGTACTTAACTGTTACGTAATATCGGTCGTCCCATGAGACAGTGAATACTGGAAAATCTCAAAATGAGGAAAGAGGGTCTGGAAAATTTGACATCCAGAAGATATACTGAAGTCAAGAAGGGCAGAGGAAAATAGTGCAGAGCATACTTAGTGAGATTGAGTAAATGGATGGCAATACAGAGTTTACGAGAGATAACAATATGACAAACTTTACTAAGAGCTACAAAGGACAGGAAATTGAGGAGATCCATGATCGTCCACGTCTTGAAGGGGCACGGCCTATAGAAGAAGAAGAAAGAAGAAGAAGAAGAAGAAGAAGAAGAAGAAGAAGAAGATTTATTATTTTAATTTTTATTTATTTTGCATTTCGAATTACCATTTTACGATAATGTAAAACTTTTTTTTTACATTCTTCTTTTTCCCTCTTTTTCTTTTCCTTTTAAGATTTCCCCTTCAATCGTTATTATTAAATATTAAAACATCTATTAAAACAAATTAGTTCAAATTATATATAAAATTATCGAAATGTCTTGTTTATTGTGTAAATAATTGTCTGTCGCTGTTATTGTTAAAATTTCTTATTTATTTATATTTTCATTGTAGGAAAATTATCCTGGAGTAACGTTCCAAATGGTTATAGTGACAAACGGAAAACGTACATATCTACTTTACTTATATAAACCATGTGGAATGGATATGGGTGTGGATGTAAAGGCTATTATGGGATACGCAGGTGGTGGCAAATATTATATCCACAAAGATTCTATGAAAATAAACAGTCTGGTAAATATAGACCTTAACAGCAACACAGGTATTTATTTCACTTTATATCATTTGTACTTTTGGTGTGTCTTTTACATGAACTCAGATTTGTTTCTATAATTTTCTATTTATTTTTTCAATAGAATTAGATATGTTCGCTTATCACCCAGTTCAAACTCTTTCCCGTCTTTTGAAAAGTAGAGTTTTATTCTTTGTTTCCTGTTCAGGATTAAGTTTCCGGTTCCTTCTCTTAAACTTACTGTTTAACAGGATTTTTGTCCTTGGGTAGCAACTTTTATTTCCTATTTGCTTACACCTAGAAAGTATGAAAAAAGGGTAATATTTCCTTGAAACTTTGCTTTTGTGACTAAGATAATAATATTTCCTTCGGGAAAATTGGAGAACATGAATATTTTCGTTTACGCAAAATGAAAACAAAATGGCGTATGATTCAAAAGTAGCATTTATTTATTTTAGGATTAGATTCACAAGAGAGAATACAAAAAATTAAAAGTCTAGCAGTTTTTTTGCAATTTGCACTTTTACTGTGAATTATTTTCACGAATCAGCCCCCAAATATAGTCTCCCATCTTGTTTTCGTTATATAATCGTTGACATAATTTTTATCTTCCATCACCATTAAACTATAAAGTAGAATTAGTGTTTAGCATTTAATATCTGATATATTCAAAAAATATTTTTCAGGTGTTCAAGGTGAATGGATGTTTGACATAAGTGGCTGGTACCAAGCGACTAAAAAACTAAAATGTCTTAAATGGTATGCCACTGCAGAAAATGTACCATTGCTAAACTATTGTCCTTGCACTGAGTGGCAAGCGTGGAGAGATTTCAGGTTTATTTATGATTGGGAATATACATCTTTTTTTCCTAAGTTATCATATATATATATATTATTTATATATATAAGGGTAAGTATTTAGTTTTTCATTAGACATATATTCAAAAAATTTAATATGACAGACAATCAATGAAGGAATTGGCAGTGGTTCTCAGTTCAAATCATACAACTGTTCATCATCATCTTCAACAACTTGGAAAAGTTCTAAACTTGGAAAATGTTAAATTTGCTTTCTACGATATCAAAATGAATTGAATCTAGGAAAACAAATCGGTCGAAATCTAGCCACACTGATGAACTTGTACAGCGAAACAGACTTGTATGTGGATGACTATATATATATATATATATCGCCGATATATATTTTTCATAATTAATTTATTTTTGATAGACTTGGGTGTTGAAACAAAATGGCTATTTTTGTAGTGATTTTTATAAAAATATTTATGTTATATTGTGTTTTTATAATTTTTTTTTTATAAAAAATAATTATATTATTTTATCTCTATATGTTCAAAAACACATGTTATTTTTTTTTGTATTGAACACAATTTTAAGAATAGTAATTGTTGGTTATTGGAATTCATACCGCATATATTAATTATATATATATATATATATATATATATATATATATATATATATATATATATATATATGAAGTGTATTATATAAGCAGATCATTATTCAAACCTATATTATTTAATGACAGGCAAGGAATGTTTTTTGTTTTATCGTGAGCCGTTCTAAGCTTGTGTATAGTCACATGCTCCTTTTTTTATTTACGCAACCCTCTTCAGTAATCCAAAAACAATCTTGGCTATGTGGCGTTTGTATACATTTTTTTTTCTTTTTAAAGGTATATAATAGTTTTTTTTCTTTCTACGATTTCATTTAGTAGTGGAATCTAGGACTGATTCCAATGGAAATTATGACCATGGTCGAGTTTATATCCTTACTCTGTCCTAGACATTGAGCTCTAGCGAAAACATACATGTATGGGAATTTTTGATATATTTTTCATATGACTATATATATATATATATATATATATATGTATAAGTGAACATTGAACTCAACATCCGGCTTCGACAGTCTGTTTCAAGACAGAATATGTGGAGCATCCAATGAGTATCAAACAAACTATTCAGTCGTAATTGATCTAGCGAATTACTCTCTCTCGCTAACCATAGTGATTTTCCAAGGCCGAAAGAATGGGGCACCCAGTGAGAATCGAACTCACTACTCACTCGTAATTGTTTTAGAGAGACAAGCTCTCTATCCATTATACCACGTTGAAGTGCCGAATGATTTTTAAGCATAGCTTAGATGTGACACATGACCGACAGTATTTAGTACCAAGTGAGGATCGAACTCACTCAGTCGTAATTGATCTAGCGAGACAAAATGGCTTGCCATTACACCAGCTGGAAGTTTCCAAATACATTTCTAAGTGTAGCTTAGTTGTAGTACAAGGTCGAAAGTGTTGAGCATCCTGTGAGGATCGTACTCACGACTTAATCGTAATAGATCCATCAAGACAAGTTCGCTAACCATTATACGACGTCAAAGTGTCCCTATTCAAAAATATATATATATATATATATATATATATATATATATATATATATATATGTATTACATTAAATAAACTAGCTTAATAATTTGTACTCATTCCCCGTCTTAAAAGAGGCCAACAGTAATAATTGTCTTACTCTATATACGGTCTGTTGTCCCCATCACTGATGTTGTTGTTTTTATCACAGCATTTCGGTCGTTCTGCTCCCCCACCGCCCCAGTCTAATCTACGGGGTAGACTATTCTCGTCTACCCGCTAATAAAGAGAGGAAGACACATGACAGCAAATCATCACCCCTAGCAGCAGCATCCACGGTCATCAAAATATGGACAGCAGTAGCAGTAGCAGTATTTGCAACCCTAATCAGCAGATAGGTTAGGTTTAAAGCTCCAAATTGTCTTAATGGCCTAGTGGATTAATGCGTTGGTTTATGAACTTGGTGACATAATGATTGTCGTGCAGTGTGTACTTGCACTCAGTGGAAACGGACGAGCAATAACTGACCGGTACTAAATATAATTAAAAATTAGATCTGATATCCCTAGACATGATCAGTGGAACAAGAACAGTCTACCTCCGTAGATTAAATGAATGGTTTAGTTGAGAATTCCCTTTAGGTTAGCCAGATCGATCGATATACAACTGAGGAAGGTCGGACACAACGGCCGAAACGTTGTGATAACAACAACAAAGATGAGGACAATAGTCCGAATATAAATAGTGTAAATAATTCTAACCCCTGATCCCAGAAATTCAAACAATAATAATTTTGCAAGCATATTTTCTACCCTTTTTTTCTCATGGGTTTGCGTTCTATACAATGTTAAATATCAAAGTATATTATTGCGTGCTATACAATGTTAAATATGAAACTAGTTTGTAACTGTGAATTTAGTTTCTAGATCTTATCAGAAACTTTTCTTTATACTTAATCTATTCAGTTATTCGAAAAATAATGACGTGGTTTTGATTGAGCAGTTCAGAACACATTTGGTTCCTGGTAAGCTTATTCAAATAAATTGCTAATTTATTTTGTGTTCAATTCCTGGGTCAGTTAGTAGAGAGTTGGACTCGATGGAAACAAGGTGAGAAATAATGGAGCAGTACTATATTTATCATATCACCGCAAGCAAGGCAATAAAACCACTAAGACGCAGCAGGTTACCGAGTGTTAGAATATTTAAAAAAATACTATTAAAGAAAGAGAATATTAAAAGAACCAGAATTAAGAAGACAATAGCTATTGGCATTGCATTTAAAGTTTTGAAGATCAAAGTTGACTGGAAAGCAAGAAGTCGGAAGATAGTTCCACAACTGAGAAATGGGAGAGAAGAAACTGTTAGCAGAGAACTTACGGTTAAATTTAGCCAATTCAACTGTAAAATGATGAGACCTCGTACTGTGCCTAAATTCATAAAGTCTAGGTACTATAAAATAATTGGTGATGTTAACAGTACCAAAACAATTTTACTGCGGAGCTACTTTTCCTAAGAGAATTAGAAGACCAAACAGTATTTATTATTGGCAAGCATAATTTTAGTAACATACGATTCTGTTTCTTCTATGTGCCAGCTATCTTCATGGTGTTGGCGATCATGGTTATCCACGACTTCCAATTCTCTTTGCTCTTAATAACGCTTTTCTTTTCAATTTTTCCTAAGTCCTGTTCTCCCAAACATTCACACAAGCTCGTTCTGTAGGTTATTCGCTGATTTCCTTCGTCCATGTGGCTTTCAGTATACCCTGTGAATGTCAAATTCTCCAAACCTTCTTTCCTCATTTATGTATAGTCCAAAAATAAATAATAATAACTCCTTATTCTTTTTTCTTATAGGTTTGTGTGTATAGATCATGGTTTTCTAGTTTATGGTTTGGACTGACACAGGAATATAATTCATTTTTCAACTATTTCCGATGGTATATAAACGATTTTGATCCGTACCGGACCTGTTGCAGTGTTGATCTCTGTTGGTTGTATCTCCAGAAGCGACCAATAGACTTTTGTGAAGGTTACAGATTTCCTTTTATTGGTAATATGAACTTTTACTATCTTTATTTAAATAATTTCATGTTTTTTCTTTCCACACACTTTTTAAAGCATTAAATATTTAAGATGATTATCAAATATGTTTTTCTATGATTCCCATATGAAAAATCATATTGTAACAATTTTATCCATAATATAAAAAATATGGGCACTATTTAACTTTCCTTTCATCATATCACCCCAAGCAAGGCAGTAAAGCCACTACGACACAGGGGGATACTGAATATAAAAAAGCAAGAAGAAAATCCTTACTAAGGAGCGAAAACAATAGAAGTGTAATCAATAATACAGTAGATAACGATTGATATTGCATTTAAGTCTTTGAAGATCAAAGTTGGCTAGAAAGCAAGAAGGGAGAAGAGAGTTCAACGAGCGAAACGTGTGAGTGAAGAAACTATTATCATAGGACTTACGGTTAGCATTTGTGAAGAAAAACTTTAAAAATCCATAGAATTTAAGATTTACTAAAAAGAACTAATTGAATTGATTCAAATTATAGCAGACATATTCGAATATAGTCTAATAATTAATCAGTTTCAGGCAAAATAAAAAAAAATTCTTTTTGCTGAAAATTATTAATCAGATACAATATCAGCATCTATATTTTTTAATCATATCTCCCCATGCAAGGTGGTAAAGCCACTAAGACACAAGGTGTTAATGAGTGTTGAAGAACAAATGAGAAATATTTGTGAGCGAGTTGAATAGATGAGTGATCAAGACAGTAGATAACGATTGACTGGAAAGTATGGAGCTAGAAGAGAGTTTCAGATGCCGGTGTCAAGTTGCAGCCATTTTCTGTTAACGATAAATATTGATCACGATCTTTTGCGATGATCTGATATTAACAGATAGGAAAATGCTCTTGGAAACAAAGAAGAGTTTAATATGTAACCTTCAATATGATAGCGAAATTTGGAAGATAACCCTCACAGATGAAGAACAGACATGAAGCGACAGAAGTGTGATCCTCTCGAGGAACACCGAAGAAACTATGGACATAATATGCAAAAAAAGCGGATGTTTTAGGAAAAATAGGCGGTAAAATAAAATCGGTATTTGAAATCAGAAAAATTAATGAGATGCATATAGAGAAAAGACGACATGGAGAAATTAGCACTCACTGGACATAGTAAAGACAAGAGAAAATAGCGGTTAATGAACTCAAAGAGACTGAATAAACGAAGAGCAGCATAAGGACTAAGAGAGATTGTAAAGGGCCCGAAGATACTTTGATCCGTAAAAGGACAGGAACATATGGAATGTCATAATCTCCGATATCATGAAAACGATAATAAACTACAGGATTAAAAAATGCTATATGAATTTGGCGACAAATTTATTTTGGGTTTATTCCAAAACCAAGTAATACCGTGTTTGACTAAGTGGAAACAGGGTGAGTAATAACTGAGCAATACTATTGTTTTATCATTTTACCCCAAGTAAGGCAATAAAACCACTAAAACACAAAAGGTTACACAGTTCGTGAGAAAAGTAAAAGAAAAAAAATTCTCGTATTCTCTCACACTGTTCTCTTAATGTTCTCGTTCCTTAATAATGAGAACAATAACAGAAGAGGAATTAAGAATAACTTATTTTTTATTCACTTCAAATCATAATTAAATAATTATTTTCAGCAGAGTTACGCACTTCTTAGATCCGTCGAAGTGTTATTTTATCATTTCATCGCAGGCAAGACAATAAAGCCACTAAAACATAAAAGGTTACACAGTTTGAGAGAAAAGTAGAAGAAAAAAATGTCTTTTCTTATATTCTCTCACACTGTTCACTGAATTCCTGAACAATGAGAAGAATAAAAGAACAAGAATTAAGAATAACTTATTTTTGTTATTCACTTCGAATCGTAATTAAATAATTATTTTCAGTAAAGTTTCGCACTTCTTAGTTCCGTCGAAGTGTTATTTTATCATTTCACCGCAAGCAAGGGAATAAAGCCACTAAGACTGAAGAGATTACAGAGTGTCAAAGAATATGAGAGAAAAATACTATTAAGGAGAGAAAACATTAAAAGAACAAGAATTAAGAAGACAAAAGCTGACGATTGACATTGTATTTGAATTTTTAAAGATCAAAGTTGACTGGAAAGCAAGAAGATGGAAGAGAGTTCTCCAAGCGAGAAGTGAGAGAGAAGCAACTATTAGCATAGAATTTACGGTTACATCTTGTTATTTCAACTGTAAAATGATGAGATCTTGCCACCAATCTCGTACGTTCACTGAAATTCATAAAGTGTAGGTACTATAGAGAAAAGTACATCGGAACAAAAATATTTATAGAAAAGGTACATGAATAAGCGATTTTACGGTGATGGTAAATTAACAGGAGCCGAGATGCCAGGTCAGGATCGATAACATTTCAGATTCATCTTTAGATTGTATCAAGAAAATCAAGAATACATAGCAGAAACAATGGCTGCAATACTCAATGTATGGACGAATGGTAGACTTATAAATGTGCAAGATAGATTCTGGCAAGAAATTTTGTCTAGCATGACACAGCGAATCAACTATCCTCGCAGCAGACTTAGCAGTTGATTCAATATAATCTTATCAATTCACGTCAGCGGAAAACATTGACCCAAGAAGGTGCAATGTGTGACTCTCCTGTGAGATAAGACGATAATAAGAACAAGACAAGCTATCCAAAGAAAACAATCTTCCTTGGTAGATTAAATAAAAGAAGATATATAGTAAAACTGTTAAATTTTGATTAAATTCATTTAAAACTTCATTTAAAAGTTATCTGTTTAACTTTCTTTTTGTTTTTTGCTTTTGTTTCATAAGCATTTACCTTTGGTGATCCACATATTCAAACATTTGATGGCTTTACGTACTCATTCAATGGCTTGGGTGAATACGTCTACTTGGATGTTTATAATCGGACAACTAAGGTTAAATTAATTGAAGTCCAAGCAAGAACACAGTTAGCTACCAATGTCAATGGCACCAAAGTAAATGCTACCATTTTCTCAGCATTTGCGATGAAAAACTTTGAGACGAACACAACAGCACAGGTTGAAATGTCAGACAGCAAAAAAGGTTAGTGAAGGAATCGTGTATACTTACAAAGACAATAAATAAGCATAAAGACACGTTACTATTTGAAATATTGTATAAATACTTTTATATATACATTATTCTTATACATCTCTGATGTTTTTATAATGATTACTTTTTATTTATTTCTTTTCTTGTGATCGATTTATATAACGTTTAATATTGTTCACCCTTCTCTTCAATCTATCTATCACCTTTTTTTTAATTCTCAGTTCTTACTGTTTCTTTCTTTTCTTGTGATATTTTTATATAACTATTTATATTCTTCACCCTTCCTTTCGATATATCGATCACATTCATTCTCAGATCTTACTCTGTATTTCTTTCGTTTGGTCGATTTTTACAGCTATTAAAATTCTTCGCACTTCTCTTCGATCTATCGAACACCTTTCTTTTTTCCCTGCAATTTTCTCTTTCTCTTTAAATAACTAATTATGCTATTTCTATCAATTCTAGACTTGATTATAAATCTGGATAACCAAGACCTTACTTTGGATTTCCAAAAGTCTTTGACCTTCAAAAAGATTGGTAAAATCAGTGTTTTCAGAAAATCGAATGCATCCGAAGACCCAAAAGCTTCTTTTACCTTCAGTTCAGGTTTGTATCTTTAATTTGGCATAAGAGATTAAATCCTGATACTAACATACCTTTATAATCCATCCCATCTATCCATTATACTTATATTACAGAATACCTAGGCAAAATGGCAAACTGTTGTTTCAAACTCTGACGATCCGAACGGTATGGTGTTTGAGATCTGTGAGCGTGGTATTTTGACAGTGATGGAAATGTTCTTTTTTTAGTCTTAATATTAGATTTAAAAAAAAATCACGCGAATACAGTACGTCTGCGAGAATGGAATAATGAAGACTCCTTGCTGCATCCGCATTCCTTAATGATACAGTCTGCCACGTGATGATGGTAGTTAGTCAATCTACTGGTATCCGTCCTCCTAATCTCTTTCTCCTTATCGCTTACTCCAAAACATGATCGTATGACTAAAATATCTGTCCACAGAAAACGAGTAAAAACAAAACTATACGTCTGATATTCTCTGTGCATTTTCGTAAAGAATTCCCTTCAGAGTCAACATAAAACGTGACAATTATTCAATAAATCCAATAGTTTTGTTGTCGATATTTTCGTATTTGTCTGTCTTGATAAAAACAATGCTGCTGTGATAGTTTACCAAGAGATTTGCATGGGATATTTTGATGCAGAACTCAAGAACATAAAGGCTTTACCAACAAAACAAGAATTTTATTTTTGATTACTCTGTGGTACAAGACTCGTTCAAAATGTTTTAAGTCTCACTCAGGAGGAGTTGGAGAAACAAAACAGATTTTCAATGTTTTTCAGTATATTTTCCCTTGGCATTAATGCACTTTGCCCAAAGATGCTTAAGCATTTCAGTTCCATCATAGAAGAAGATGGCTTCCTGCCCTCCAAAAAATGATAACCACGCAGGTGGGGTTTGAGTTTACGAAACTGGAAGAAGTCAGATCGCCCTAATAGTGGCTGCTCCCAGCTACTGCAACCAGAGCAATGTGAACAGGCGTATTATCCTGGAGTAATAGCATACCTTCCCACATCTTCCTTCTACTTTTCAACTTGATTGCTTCCTTCAGGTGTCTTAATCCTGGTGCATAGTACTGCCCATTAGTTATTTCCCTGTTCCAGATAGTCTATCATGATTACGCCATCAGAATCCCCCAAAACAGAAGCCATCATCTTGCTAACAGACGCTGCCAGCTTAAACTACTTCAGAGTGGAGAACTAGAGCGTTTCTACTGTTTGCTTTGAGTCTTAGATGCAGGTTCGAAGTGGTAAACCCAGGTTTCATCTTTGTTACTAATATGCGGGGGAAATTTTCAGAGTCAGTCTGGAATCGAGCAAGACGTGTCCTGGAAAATGTAAACCCTTTTCATTTCTGCGCTGGTGCAGCGTTTTTGGGATCCATCTTGTAGAGAGCTTTCTCGTTTTCAAGACCTCAGTTAAAACAGTATACACCGAACCAGAACTAATACATTTGTACTTAGCTATCTGCTGGACAGTGATTATGTCTGGCACCAAAACTGTATCGTGAATGGCAAAAAAGCGTCTGCTTTAATTTACATGATTTTTCTTTAACTGTATATTCTAAAATAAGATTTTAGAAACGCCGTGTTCAAAACATTTCGTTCGCCTAAACCACAAAACATAAATCATCATTAGTTGAGGTTTGCTGGGATGGGACTTTAGCGTATGGGCTCAGTAAACTTGTAAACAAAAGCATAAATTTACACATTCTTACGTTGAGGAAAAATTTTCAAAAGGTTATTGAAAGGCTGATCTGGTAATTCTCTAACCAAAGCATTTTCGTTCACCTTGTCCATAAAGAATTTCCTTCATAAAGCGTCTGCTTTAATTTACATGAACTTTTTTTTCTTTAACTGTCATCACATTTATTTTAAAATAAGATTTTAGAAACAACGTGTCGTTTCAAAACATTTATTCGCATTTATAGGTATGAAATATGAAGAGGTTATTTCTAACCTTTACGAACCATATAAATACGCATATACAAAAGTTCGATGTTGTGTATTCATATAAACCACAAATTAAATATTTTAGTTTCATTGGAAAATCTTTAATATATACTTGTCATATATATATATATATATATATATATATATATATATATATATATATATATAATGTTTTATATTTGTGTGTGTATGTTTATATTTTACTATTTTTATGGTAATTTTTTTATAAAAAAATTATCTCTGGTATTTTACTATAAATTTTACTATAAAATGTATTTTTATATTTTCATAGTGTTTTGCTTTTGTTTGAGGGGTCATTATTTATCCATACCCGAGGCACTAATACGTGCTAACACCCCGAGTGAGGGTGAACCTTGGAACAACAACAATTAAGCGGTGGTTCCACACTTTACAAAACTTCCACTCTTCCGGTCACATGCCTTGCTGCCGGATGTAGTTCATCCCTATACCCAGGACTAGAGATTATTAAAGTAACCGTTCTTGTGATTTAATATCTGAAAAATAAAGATTTTTTTTTATATAAGCTGATTAGTTTTTTAATTATTTGAGATCAATCAGATATTTATAAAATGTTGAACTATTTAATATCATGCGTTCGATTACTCATGTATTTTTAAAGCATTCAGTTAATGATATTTCATTTGTTTATTTACAGGGATCGACATTACTGTGTCAGTAAGCACTGGAATGCTAAGCGTCAGCTTTTCTATTCCTGAAGATTTGCAAAAGGATATTCAGACCCGTGGATTACAAGGAGACATCGACGGTGATCCAAATAACGACCTACGAACACCAAATGGGACGGTTTTATCAGTTAATTCCACCGAAGAAGAAATATTTGACAACTTCGGCCAGCTATGTAAGTAAAAAAAAAACGAAGTCTTTCCTTGCAGATTGACCACAGGTTCTCGATTGGATTTAAATAAGGAGAGTTTCCAAGCCAATCGATAGTATTTTGATTTGTTCACTGGTAAGGTTTGCCATTATGTTTGTGCAGCGTTACAATTTTCGTACACTTGCTTGGAGTAACATCCATAACAGACAATGGCAGTAGAACAACTAATCGACAGTCGAGAAAATAGTGCGTGGGCGTGATGAAAATTTGATGCAATCAGGGATAACGCTATATTTTGCACCGAAAATAGATTCATGTTAATGCACATCACTGTAAATGACTTCATCTGAGGAAAAAAACAGAAATTAATTACACCTTGTCATTCCAGTGGGTCTAAAACTGACCGTATGCTGAAAGAAAGGAGACTAAAGCAGTTGTTTCAATTAATTTGCACAAAGGGGCATGAGTAGCGTAACGGATAGTGGCATGAAAATTGAAACATGGAAGTGCGTTCAAATCCCAGCCGTGCCCGTAGGGTTCATTCTGTACTAATACTCAGGGGAGAACCATGTATCAAACTCCCTCCTCTCTACTAATACCACGGGAAAAGGCATAGAAAAATTCCTGTACTAATACTCAGAAAAAAGACATGAATTCACATCCCTCCTTTTTATTAATACTTTGTGAAAAGACATGAAACTATCTCCGGTACTAATACCATGGAATGAGTTCATCCCGCTCTCCTGTACTAATGCCCTAGACCGAGGCATAAATCTACTTCCCTTCCCTATACTAATGCAGTGAGAGGCATCAATTCCCCTCCCTCCCCTGTACTAATGCTCCGGGAAGAGACATGAAGCCATCTTCCTCTTTTATACTAATACCTTAAGGAGAGTCATGAATCTATAAAAGTAAGGGTAAAATAATACATCAGACTAACCTCTTCAGCCATGGTTGGCAACCATCCTAGGCGAAGGAATTCAAAGCCATGGAGAAGGCAGGAAGAAACCATTCTGCAAATCTTTTCCAAATTTCTTTTAAAGAAAATAAGGATACTTGGATATATGGACCAAATATTTGATTAAGGATGAAGTTCTAGAGAAAATAGAAAAAAAAGGAAACATATTTAACATCAGGAAGAGACATTTGAGGTTTGTAGAACGCATAATGAAGAAAGAAGGCTTGGAAAATGGGATACTGACAAGACAAGCAAGAGGAAAACAACTCATAACATACTTAGTGGGCTTGAGTAAATGAATGACGGAATAGGGTTTAAGAGAAATAAAAAAAAAAGAGTAATGTTAT